GTTACGTCTTTCCACTAAATTAATCCTTTGCATGTTTTCTAATTTTAAAATAATGGAGGCACAAAATCACAAAATGAACAATGCAAAAATGGTCGAAAAGTTCACCAAATACATCAATTTGTTATCATAGAAGACCAAGGAAACCGGAAATATACACACATGAGAAAATGAAACAAAGAATTTGGTCTTAACAATTAATTATCAGGATAGATTCATTTATTCTGTCCCGATTGACTAATCAGTTAAATTGACTAATTGTTGCAGCTGTAGGCCCATTTGTTATCTACATTTTTAGGAGCTGGATAAAAGACCAATCATTTAGTCACATGATCAGCATACATTTTCACTGTACAAGTAGGGCTGCAGAAGTAAGGACAATTTTTATTATTATAAAATTCCCATTATATTCAAATAGATTTTTTGTCACCCAACCAAGCTAACCCCAGAGATATTCAGTTTACCATTACTTAAGTCAAACAATAGCAATGCTTTCTCACATCTGAGAAACCGGAGAATGTTTCATATTTTTGCTTGAAAAATGACTAAAAAGTTGATCAGAATAGTTTTATAGTAATATAAATGTTACGTCGATCAACTAATCGATTCCGCTCTACTGGAAGTATTAGCTCTCGTGCTTTTTATTCTAAACTGACAGTTAAGACAAATATTGATCAAACTCTTCGCAGATGAGACACAGTTGGAGTATTTTAGCTTCTCATCAAACCAATTTGCAGAATGAAACATTTCCATTGATCGCATTTAGTCCACATCTGTGAAAGCATTGTGGTGGTATGAGTCAGGTTTGTGTCATATATCAGTCATGTACTGGTCACTGTGCTTTATGTAATGTTCAGTTATATTGTGCACCATGTGGTTATTTGTCATTTGAGAGACTGATGATATTGTTGGTCAGATATTTGGCTGATAAAGTGTCCTCTGTGCTTGTGCTCGCTTCATGAATGGACTCTTGTCATGGTTCAACCACACTGGCCAGAAAAACAGACAGAAGTTACATATTTGCAGGAGGAAGTGTGTGTGTGTGTGTGCATTGTACATGTTAAAGCCATTGAAGTTGATTAGCTGTTTCTGAGGAGATTAAAACCCCAAACACAGAGGGGCTGTTAAGACCCTCCTACGGTCTCTAATCCGAGCTAATGGATGCACCCCCAACCCACCACACACACACACACACACACACACACACACAGGAAGAGAAGTGTTGCAACATGAGGAAGAAGAGAACGAGAAGAAGAAGAAAAAATGGAAAATAGAGTAGGGGCATTCCTCTCATTTCTCTACACAAAGGCCTCATTCTGTCGAGGAGAAATGGAAAAACAAGGAGAAAAGAAAGAGAAAGAAAGGCCAAAAAGAGAGGAAGGCTGGATCAGAGGGGAGGGAGTGGGGGCGTGAGAGAGATGGATGAAGATAGATGAGAAAAAGCACATTGTGAAACCTAAGAGATAGCGCTAGAGAGGAACTGAAAAAGAGCAAAAGTCAGACTAATCTCATTTTCTGGGCCCAGACGTATCCCTGTGACCCGCCGTCCCACAGCCCAAACCTTTTAGTCTGGCTCCAAACTGCCTCCTCAACCTTTCTCCTGGGACTTTTATTGACTTTATAGACCTGCCAGGACAAGACAAATTCATGTTGTCCTTTCACTCTGCACACTATCGTACAAATCTAGATGCTACCGGGAGGCCAGGCAGTCTCTCCGGCTGCTGCAGGTAGGCTGGGATACTCACACAGTCAAGTTAAATACCAGTACAGATACAGGGACACAAATGGAAGCTGAGAAGGTGTCTTAACTGATATACACCCGAGCTGTTTTCTATGAGACAAATATATGGTTTGATGATGATTCTAAAAACACCAGGACCAATGTAGGATTTAGCTTCACCCTCCCCTTCCAGGCGTGAAGGAGAAACTACAGTTGCTGTAAAACACATAAAAACCATGAATGGCTCATTTTAAGGTAACAAAAACACCATCCCTATATTCAGGTACACTAATGAAAACATACCTACAAATATTATATTTCATTTCTGCCAATAGATCCTCCTTAATGTTTCACACTGGACCTTTAAATATCTTTAAAACTTGTCTGAAATACAAATAAATGTGTTCTGGGGTTTGTTAAATATGAAATCTCAACAAAGAACAAAGGCACTGATAGAAAATGTTAATTTTTTATCATATATATTATAAATATAAGTGTACTGGTGTTTGGAGAGTCGGTCAGTGACAATTGTGTAAATTTGTATTAAGCTTACATAGCCGACCTGCATGCAAGTGGGATGCTGAATGCGTGCATTAGATGAATCAAAGTACACTCATACATGATGAGGCATGAATGAGGAGCATGGCTGTTAAACATTCATGTACAATCATAGAGAAACTGATGCCAGTTTCAGGTACAGGTACGCTGCATGTAGTGAAATTCATCACGTTACAAATTAATGTTGCCTAACTTGGCAACCTTGACTAGACACGACGAAGTCAAGCATTTCTCCACATTTTTTAAGTTTGTATGCGGCTTTAAAAACAGAGATACTCTCCGTACTAATATTTAAGAGTGGATTAAACTGTTTGTCTGCTCTAATGTAAACTGCAAATGTAAGCAAGTCTGGCTAACTAGGTTACCTACAATAGTGACGTTAATGGTAGCGTTACTTCCAATGCTAAGGAGCAAACCATAAACTAACTACATTATTTTGTGAGGTTTATGTTAGAAAAGGTTTTGACTGACATCTCGACTATGTGGGACTGACAGCTGTACCTACATGGTGTTAGAGTATACAGAAAGAGTTCTGGCTAAGGATAGCAACTATCTGGCCCTTAGTCTGGTGGATTTGGTGGCGTACACTCCAGCAACCCTAGCCAGACAGACAGTGTTAGCCAAACTCATCGGTTAGTCTTCATCCTCAATGTGATACAAGACAAGTCTCTAAGAATGAAATATAAAGCAAAAGCTTGTCTAGCTTCTGTGTTAGCATCCTGCCTGGGTTACATTCAAACAATGGTTTGGTCTTCCATTTTACCTCACCACAGCCCTACTTAATAAAGGGCTGTGTGTACTTTGTACAATGCATCTCTTTTGGGCCTATTTCCGTTTCGTTAATGAGTTAACATTAGCTTAATTAGTCAGGTTTGTCTACCTCTGAGTAATCTCAAGGCTCTGTTGTTTAAAAAAATACATTGTAAATCTGCCTCAGTTATTGTTAACTGTGTCCTCTTGTCTGGAGGTTGTGAAATATAAAAGAATCGGAACACAAAATACCACCAGATGGTTTCAGTCTACTCGAATACTGCCAAGCATGAGAGGGAGGGGGGTAAGACAAAAAAAATTGGACT